CTGGCATGCGTGCGGCCCGGGTTCGATCCTCAGCACCACATACAAACAAAGATGTTGTGTCCACCAAAAACTGAAAAATAAATATTGAAATTCTCTCTTTCTCTCTCTCTCTTAAAAAAAATAAAATAAAATGTGTTATTCAGGGATAGCATGGAAGAATTATGATACTATATAAATAAGAAAGAAATGCTACTCAAAAAAATTAAAAAATCAATTCCTTTTTCTTTTTCTATTTTATGTTGCTGGGGATTGAATATAGGGCCTCACACATGGTAGGCAAATACTCTACCAACTGAACTATATCCTTAGTCTTTTTGTATTATTTTACATGACCATTATTCTATTTTTTTTTTCTAATTCTATAGGATTATTTGAGAAACATTATATGTGTTCATTATTTTTGGTTGTTAAAAAAATTACACATAACTTGGGGCTGGGGACGTGGCTCAAGTGGTAATGCGCTTGCCTGGCGTCTGTGCGGCCCGGGTTCGATCCTCAGCACCACATACAAAGATGTTGTGTCTGCCGAAAACTGAAAAATAAATATTAAAAAATTCTCTCTCTCCCTCTCTTTAAAAAAAAATATAACTCTTCAATTAATTATAATCTAGCTTTCAATAATTTAACATTTAAAAAATTACACATAACTCATTATATTAGTTGAATATTTTTCTCTTGTTTTGCATTACTGAGGATTGTACTCAGTTGAAGTATCAATTGTAATATAGTTATAGGGAGATGGTATTTAATTTTCATTTCTCCAGTTTACTTCTTTGTTAAATTAGCAGCATACTTTACCTCTCTGACTAAATGAGAACAACTTTGTAAACCACCTGGAATATATCATTGAACAGCTCTTAATATTGTTTCAAACATTGGAAGCTTGGGCATGACTGGTAAAACCTATTAGTAATGTGCTTCTTTTTCAGGTTGCTGGAGGAGCCAGTATGGGTCAGATTTCCGAAGCACTGAGCCGATATGGGAACAGGTCATGTTTTATGAAGGAAGCTCTTTATAGGCTCTTTACAGAGACATTTTCAATGCATGTACACATGCCTGCTGTTTTAAAGGTAACTATACCCTAGAAAGGAATTTTTTTTTTCAGATTACTTGGTTCAATTAGATAAGTAATTGTATGTTTGATTTCTTTCCAGAAATGAGTGCTCCCTCCATATCTACCTCAGCATCACTTATTTGTATGTCTTTGATGGGGCTTTTTTAAGTTTCATGTTGTTGGAATCCCTCACAGTGTTTGCCTGTGTGCACTGTTGCTCTTACAAGGCTTTACACTAAAGAATAAGATATAAGTCTGGTTCATATTTGTGTTCTCTGAAATGCCTATTGGAATACCTTGAATGGAGTGAGGCCCAAGGAAAGATTGTGAAATTAGTTTTAGGTGTGAGGAAATGGGAGGTCCAGAGAAAGGAGGCGACTTGTCCAAAGTCACACAGAAAGTTAATGACTGCCTTTTAATTAGAGTGTAATGATGTAATACCTTAATGTCCTAAAAGAGTAAATGCTGAGGATAAGTAATATCTGTTAYTGTTATGATAAAGAGCAAACATTTTGCCAACCAGAACAAGCACAAGGCAGTAAAAAGAATGTTGATGTTGTTCTATACTCTCAAACCATGTTTATCTTCAGCTTGTGGCTGTAGGAATGAGGAATCATCCAATGGATTTACCAGTGCAATTCACAGCTAGTGCTTGTGCCCTCAACTTAACACGCCAGGGTCTGGCCCAGGGAATGCCTGTTCGCCTGTTGTCAGAGGTCACTTGTCTACTTTTCAAGGCTCTGAAAAATTTCCCCCATTACCAACAGGTAATTTTGATTGAAATTTTAGTTGTGCTTTTTAAGATCAGGGCAAATACTTTACTCTCACCAGGTGCCCACACTGACAAGATGAGCTGGGTTYAAAAGAGCTGGCTGCAACATTAAACTAGGAAAACAGTGAAGAAATCACACAACATAAGGACATGAGTTTCTCAGATCTAGGGTGGGACTGATCTGCCACCTTAAGGGTCAGCTTCCACACTGGACAGCTCTGGAAAGAGTGCACACCCAGACACACACACACASAAAGGAGACACACACAGGAGCTTCAGTGGAATGTTCTTCACCAAACAAGGCAGGGGATAACATTTCAGAGGTGGAGTCTTATTTTGCGATGTTTTATGTTCAGCAGGTTGATTGACATCTTGGCAAATCACACCCATCTCAGGTGCTATGTGCGATCACAGGCTGAGCAAGAGGAAAGGTGCACTTGTCGCACAGCCCAGTCAGCGCGTAATGCCAGACCTGTCCCCTCAAAATATCGCTCCAATGAGCATAGCTCACACACACAGCCCATGGATGACTTGCAAAAAATACAAATGTGTATTTTTTAGTTCTGGTTTTTCATTGTATCAGAGAGAGAGAGAAAGAGGGGAAGAGAGGAAGGGAGAGAGACAAAATAGATAAGGAATATATGATGTTTGGTATAGAAAAATAGGAAATACAGATAAGCAATGAGGTTAAAATTTTTTTAAAATGCATGCCTGTAATCCCAGCTACTCTGGAGACTAAAGCAGGAGGATTGCAATTTTGAGGCCAGCCTGAACAGCTTAGTGAGACTGTCTCAAAATAAAAAATAAAAGGGTTGGGGGCATATAGCTCAATGTCAGAGTGCTTGCCTAGCAGACAAGATTCTGGGTTCAATTTCCAGAACCTCAGTAATTTTTTGGGGATGTGTGTGTGGATTGAATCCAGTGGTGCTTTACCATTGAGTACATCTACAGCCATTATTATTATTATTATTATTATTATTATTATTATTATTATTATTATTATTTAATTTTAGGACAGTTTTTTGCTAAGTTTCCAGGCTAACCTTGAACTTGTATTCTATCTCAGCCTCCCAAGTTGATGGGATTACAGGTGTGCACCATTGGTATCCAACTACAATACTCTTAGTTACCTGGGAAATTCAATTTAAAGCTACAGTGAGATACTGGTACTCCTTCTAGAAACTACTGCATACCCTTTAGACTGGCCAATAACTAGAAGGCATCAAGTGTTGGCAGGGTATGAAASAATTGAAATTCTCATTTGGTTGTAAGAATGTGAAACGATACAACTACCAGTTCAACTGTTTGGTAATTCCTTTAAAAATGAAATATACACTTTTTATTCTACCCAGTTATTCTCACCTACGTGTTTAGCAAAGAGAATAAAATTATATGTCTATATAAATGTTTATATAAGAATGTTCATAGTACCTTGTTCATAATTACTAAAAAAATTGGGTGAATAAATAAATTGTATATTGGTATAAGGAAATACTGTTTGGCACAGAAAGAAATGAAGTTCTGATACATGCAACAGGGATGAATCTTAAAAACATTTGCCAGGCAAAATATTCTTTTTTTTTTTTTTAATATTTATTTACTTATTTAGTTAGTTAGTTTTTAGCGGACACAACATCTTTATTTGTATGTGGTGCTGAGGATCGAACCCAGGCTGCACACATGCCAGGCGAGCGCGCTACCGCTTGAGCCACATCCCCAGCCCCCAGGMAAAATATTCTAAGAGTAGATACTATATGATTCCATTTGTAAAACCTTAAAAGAAAAAAAAAAAAAAACTATAACTGTAATTTTCTGGGGTTGAGGCTGCCAGGATGGGGGCATAGTAGAACTCTTTGGGGATGATAGAAATGTTTTTTTCTTGATTTGTGGTGGTGATGGTTACATGGGTGAATAAATTTGTCAGATCTAAATGAGTCTTTATGATAGGAATTGAGAGAGGGAGATAGATATAATTTTCTYTTTTTTTTTGGTATTGGGGATTGAATTCAGGTGTGTTTTGCCACTGAACTACATTCCCAGCCCTTTTTATGTTTTTATTTTGAGAGAGGGTCTTGCTAAATTGCTTAGGGCCTTGCTGAGTTGCTGAGGCTGGCCTTAAACTTTTGGTCTTCCTGTCTCAGCCTCCTGAGTTTCTAGCATGACAGACATCTGCTACTGTGCCTGTCCCAGTGGGAGTTGATATTTAAAAATATAATAAGGAAGGTGATCTTTCTCATTTAAGAAATCTGTATTTTCGCCTGTTCTTGAAAAGTTAAAAGATCTGACTCAATTAGTCTTCATTCCTGCATGGCAGTCATCAGTTGTAGGTTTAAAGGAAAAACTTGAAGAGAGCTACAGCAGTGAGCTCCCAATAAGAAAAGCTCATTTTAGCACCATCCAAATGTTTGGAACCTGTATTTAGAATGGAGTATTACATTTACTCACAATTATTTTCTTTTTTACTCAAAAGTTACAGAAGAATTGTCTTCTTTCCTTAACCAATTCCAGGATTCTTGTGGATGTTCCATTTGACAGGCAAGTATAAATAGAAGTTGGTCATCTGATTGGGGTGCTGGCCAGTGTTCCTCTGAGCACTGTTGGCATTTGATTATTAGTTTGGCCAAGGCCTGATTAAGGCTCAGACAAGTTGTTTGTGCAGAAGGCTGTTTTGAGCCTAACACACAGTAGTGATCAGTGGTATTGTATTTGTAAATGTTCTCTCCCAAAGTGATTCCAGGACCAGGCAGTGGGTAAAAAAAATAAATAATGAGCTCCAAAGAATCAAATGCACTTGGACTCAAGTTCTAGCCCTTCCATTGTCTCTGCACATGTTTCCTCTGTTTGTAAAATAGTAACTCTTTTGAGGATTTGATATGATAATGTTTATAAATTATCTGTCAAAGTACATAGTTTAAGAGGTATTGGCCATATGAAGAATCTTAGTCATTTATTTTGTTATTGATTATTTAATAATAATTTAAAAAATCATTATCATCCTAGATGTTATAGAGGGATTCTTGGGATTCTTTTCAAAGCCTTTGTGATCTTCCAGATTCACGAGTTTAAAGCATTTAGATTAGTTAACTGCAGAAAGCAGAAAAATTAAGCACAGGCTGATATGAGCTTTTTGCTGAGGCTGGCTTTGAATTTGTGATCCTCCTGCCTCAGCCTCAGACGCTGGGATTATAGGAATGCACCACCATGCCCAGCCTTTTATTCAAATCTTTTAAGTCCTTAAGAAGTATGTGGGAGTTCTCTTCAAATGGTGTTGTATATTAACATTTACACCTTTTACATTGCTGTTTTCAGTGGATACTTCAGTGTTTGATATCCATGCAGTCTGTAATTTGTGGGTGAAGGGTTATGGATAGTAAGTTTGCTGTGGCACTGTCCACAATTCAGATTACAAATTACTACCTATTTGGAAACTCTTTAGACTCATCATAGTAGAAGCTAAATGCTAAAAAGTTTTTTTGCTAGGCATAGTTGCACAGGRCTATAAACCCAGYTACTTGGGAGGCTTAGGCAGGAGGATCACAAGTTCAAGGCCAGCCTAGGCAACTTAGTGAGGCTCCATGTCATAATAAAAAATGAAAAGGGCTGGGGATGTAGCTCAGTAATAGAGCATTTGCCTACTACTATGTGAGATCCTGGGTTCAGTTCCCAGAAAGGATAAAAATAAATCCCCAGAAATAAATAAAAATWAAAAAAAGGTTTCTTTGGATCTGCTTATCCAGTGTTCTGTTTTTTAAAAGAATATGTTTTAGTTGTAGATGAACACAATATCTTTATTTATTTATTTTTTATATGGTGCTGAGGATCGAACCCAATGCCTCACATGTTTGTGTGAGGCAAGCTCTACCACTGAGCCCCAGCCCCAGTGTTGTATTTTTATTCTTTTTCTCTCGCTCTTTTTATTACCCCTTGGTTTTGAGGATTGAATCCAGGGCTGCTGCTTTCATGCTCTGCAGGTACCCTTCCTTTGATCTGTACCCTATGCGTACTCATTCTATTTGTATACTCTCCTGTTCTATCTTATCTCCTAAATGCTCAATTTTCATAGTTGAGGCTTTATAAGTTCAAAACTATTTTTGTTACAGGATTTGTTGGGGGAGGCTGAGTGATTTGCCATGTACAGTTTCACAAACTATGTAATATTGAGAAAAATAAACACTTCTTTTCAGGTTTGATGCTGCCAAGTTTGTTATGAAATGGCTCTGTAGGCATGAGAACCCCAAAATGCAAACTATGGCAGTGAGCATCACCTCTATTCTAGCACTGCAGGTATGTGACATTTAGGTCAAAATCGTGCTCTTCCTCCTCATACAGCTTGGATACTTCACTTTTTGCTTTTTACTTGCCTTTAGCTATCACCAGAGCAAATTGCACAACTCCAAGAAGAGCTCTTCATGGCAGTTAAGGTGGGTTGAGTTGATCTTCATTTAACTTTTGTAAAAATGCAGGTATTTTGTGAATGCAGCTTAAAAAAATAAATAGGTCTAAAGGCCCTATTAAAAAGAAATTGTAGGCTGGGTATATAGCTCAGTTGTTAGAGTGCTTGCCTTGCATGCACAAGGCCCTGGGTTCAATTCTCAGCACCACAGAAAAGAAAAGAAATTGTAAAACTTGTTCCCCAAGAGAAATTTCTATTCTTATAGCTATTTATTTACTTCTACTTTTCAAAATATAATGCTTAATTGCAGTTTCTTGATTTTGCAGTTTTAGATATTTATTTTGTTACTATAATAAATAAAAATTTGGTTCTCCTACATATATTTCTACAGATTAATTCTTTCTGCAGTTCCCAAAAAGATTATAGCACAATTAAATCTGTAATCAGTATTTACATTAGGATTATGTGAACATTGCTCATTCAAAACATTTTGTGTCATTTTATTCTGCACTTTTTTTTTTTTTTTTTTGGTATTGGGGATTAAACTCAGGGGTACTCAACCACTGAGGCACATYCCCAGCCCTATTTTGTATTTTATTTAGATACATTTCTTATTTTATGCCTTTTGCATTGCTGTTATCTGTGGATACTTCAGTGTTTGATATCCAACCAATACATTTTTCCATTTATTGATGCATGTTTATAATAGTGATAAAGTCAAGGATAAAAACTTTCTTTTGGGCCTGTTCATTTCTGAGGTGCTTGAGTTGTCAAGAAGGTGATTTGAAAGCTGGGAGTGTGGCTTAGTGGTAGAGTGCTTGCCTTGCACATAGGAGGCACAGGGTTCAATCCTCAGCACTGAATAAAATAAAATAAAGGTATTGTGTTCATCTACAACTAAAAAAAAAAAGAAGGTGGTTTGAAGCCAGGTGCAGTGGTGCATGTCTGTAATCCCACTGGCTCAGGAAGCTGAGACAGGAGGATCATGATTTCAAAGCCAGCCTTACCAATAGCAAGGCACTAAGCAACTCAGTGAGACCCTGTCTTACAAAATAGGGCTGGGGATGTGGCTCAGTGGTTTTTGAGTGCCCCTGAGTTGAATCCCTGGTACCCCCCCCCCAAAAAAAAAAAAAAAAAAAAACAAGAAGATGGTTTGAGTTCTGGGCTGCAGCTCATAGTGGTGGTTAGGGGTAGAGAAATTATTTTATTCATCAGTTGTGGATTAGATGGGATTACCTAGAAAGAATATGGAGTGTATATAGAGAAAAGAAAAGGATATACAGAAGTTCATTGGAAAATTAGGAGAAGCAAAAAAAGGAGTTTGAGAAGGAGCATCCAGAATGTGCTAGGAAACAGGAGAGAGAATTGTCTTAGAATCCAAGAGGAAATATTCAAGAAAACTCAGGCAGTTGTGTCAGATCTAACTGAGTAGTTGAGTGAGATGACAATGGAATTGACTCTTGAATTTGGCATGATGGGAGTCATGAGACATCTTGGTAGGTCCTGTTTTCAGAGAATGCTGGGCCAAACAAGTTGAATGATGAACAAAGAAATGGAGAAAACTTTTTTATGTTGATTTTAATGAGAAGGAAARAGAATGGTACTATGTGGAGTCAATAGTAATTTTTTTGTAAGATAGATTTTATAAGATAGATATTTTGTAAAATATTAAGATATTTTGTGCCTATGAACAAGGGAAAAATTGCCCTAAACAAGACAACTTTTTAAAAATTTTTAAGGGGCTGGAGTTATAGCTCAGTGGTAGAGCGGTTGCCTCACACTTGTGAGGCTTTAGGTTCAATCCTCAGCACCACATAAATTATAAATAAATAAATAAATAAATTAATTAAGACAGGGTTTCTAAGTTACTGAGGGTGGGATCTCACTTAGTTGCTGTGGCTAGCCTCTAACTTTCCATCCTGCTGCTCTATTCTCCCAAATTCCCTGGCTTGTGCCTTGGCACCCCATTGAGAAAATAATTTTGACACCAAATCCTTGAGTTTKCAGGAATAAGATTTAGAGCAGGTGTAAAGATGTTGGCTTTAGTGGAGTAGGAGAGAAAGCAGAGTACATTGATGCAAGTGTAAACCTGCCAATTTAGAAGAGTGACTTTGAAAGATGATATGAGCTGGGCATGGTGGCATATACCTATAAACCCAGATTCTTGAGAGATTGAGGCAGAGAAATTGCAAGTTTGAGGCCATCCTCGACAATATAGTGAGAGTCTGTCTCCCCACACTCTGCATTTTTTAATTGGTGCATTTTAGTTGTAMATAATGATGGGATTTGTTGTTGTATTTGTACATGCATATAATATAACAATATAATTTGGTAGTATCGCTCCGTAGCACTTTCCCCCTGTCTCCCTACTCCCATCCCTTGGTTGTTTTCCTCTTCTGATGTCCCTTTGATTTTAATGAGATCTGCCCCCATCCTTCTTTTCGTTTTTCCTCTCTGGCTTCTACATAGAGAAAACATAGGACCCTTAACCTTCTGAGCTATACTTATTTCACTTTACTTAATGGTTTCTAGTTTCATCCATTTTTCTGCAAATGACATAATTTCATTTTTCTGTATGACTTTTGTTATGAATTGTGCTGCTATGAACATGGGTGGCATGTATCATTGTAATATGATGATTTTAATTCTTCTGCAGAAATACTAAGGAGCGGTATGGCAGTTCCATGCCTAGCCTTTTGAGGAAAGACCCTGTCTTTAAATAAAAATAGGGCTGGGAATTTGGCTCAGTGGTAGAGCTCTCACCCAGTTTGTGGTAGATCCTATGTTTGTTCCTCAGCATAACCAAAAGGGAGAGATATGAAGTGATCAATGAGTGTAAAAAGATGGTAATTAAAGTTTGAGGAGAAGAATTAGGAAATAACAATCTTTGGAACAAAATACAGTTGAATGCCCTTTTAAAATTTATGGGCAGATATTGAAAGCACAGACTTTTTCAACCTTCAGAGTTTGGGGGAGGCATGAAGCGGACTGATAGTTAGGTTTAGCATTTATCCTAAAGTAAAAGTTGTGAAACTGTCAAGAAATGGTAACAGGACTGGATGCAAATAKAGCAAGGACTCCGAGCAACATAATGGGAGGAAGAACAGTGGATTTCCTAGAGAGACAAGTTTATTTTGTTTTCTGGTTTTTAAATGTTATTTATTTATTTAATACTGGGCCTTACATACACTAGGCAAGTGCTATATCCCTGAGCTACATTCCCAGCCTTATTTTTTTTTTTTTTTGAGAGAGAGAGAGAGAATATCTTTTTTTGTAGATGGACACAACACAATGCCTTTATTTATTTATTTATTTTTTGATGCTGAGAATTGAACCCGGGTCTCGAGCATGCTTGGCGAGTGCTCTACCGCTGAGCCACAATCCCAGCCCCCAGCCTTATTTTTTAAAGTGCATATTAATTGTACAGAATAAAGTGTTTCATTGTGTTATATTCATACTTGCATATAATAATGATATTTTCTACTAGAAAGACATTTTAGGTAGTGATAACAAGAGCTCAGGAATCAGATTTAGGCAGACAAGGCCCAACCAATTACTAGTCATATGACCTGGGCTAAATCTCTGTGCTTTGACTCTTCATTTGGAAAACTGTATTAGCAATTAAAAATCAKACTTCTGTCATAGTGATACTACCTCATCAGTTACTGTGCATATGTTTCAGAGAAAGCACGTAAAGCCTGGAACCATGGCTTTGCCACAGTCAAATGTTTCAGGGACAGCCTCATTTCACTGCTCCCTTTCTTCCTTGCCTTGCCCTTATTCATAACCTGTTGACTGCCTAGGTGAATATCTTCTTCCTGCTACTCTTAGCTGTCACAACTTTATTTATTTTTAAAATTTATTTTGGTACTGGGAATTGAACACAGGGCACTATACCACACCCTCAACCCTTTTTATTTTTTGAGACAAGTTCTTGCTAAATTGCTTAGGGCTTTGCTAATTAGCCAATATTGTTCTGGAACTTGTGGTCCTCCTGTCTCTCTACCTGCCCCTGCCCAGTTGCTGGTATTATAGGAGTGCCCTAGCTTACATATTACCTATATTTGAAGGTTTCCCTCTTACCCTTTATATAAAGTAAAATTTCAAGYTTTTGTGTATTTCTTTAAGAGCATTTGACAAAACTAAAATACATTTTTTTTAAAGATTTGGAAACTTATTATTTATTTATATGTGGTGCTGAGGATTGAACCCAGTGCCTCACACATGCTAGGCAAGCACTCTACCATTGAGCCACAACCCCAGCCCCATTTGGAAACTTTAAAAAAATATATTTTTCAGTTGTTGGTGGACTATTTATTTATTTATTTATTTACTTTTAACTCACAGTTGTGGAGGCTGAAAGTCCAAATAGCATGGTGCCAGCTCTGGTGAGGGCCCCCTAGCTGCATCATATGATAAATGGCATCTTAGTGGGAGCTCATGCAATAGGGAGAGGACACATGGCAAGGCAGGATGTTTGAGAGTGGGATTATTTATTTATTTTTATGTGGGGCTGAGGATTTAACCCATTGCCTCATACATGCTAGGAAAACACTCTACCACTGAGCCACAACTTTAGCCCCCTAAAATTTTTAGTTGAGGAAAAACCAAGTTTTTTTTTTGTCTGTTTCTGCTACCTGAATGAGTACTTGACTTACAGATGGTGTTAACTAAATGTTTTCAGTCAATAAAAAGTAGAATATCTGATATATACTTGATAATGCCCATTTTTTGTGGGGAGGGGTACCAGGGATTGAACCTAGGGGTGCTTAACCACTGAGCCACTTCCCCAGCCCTTTTTTGTATTTTATTTAGAGACAGGGTCTAACTGAGTTGCTTAGGGCCTTGCTAAATTGCTGAGGCTGGCTTTAAACTCATGATCCTCCTGCCTCAGCCTCCTGAGCTGCTCTACTGAGATTACTGGCAATAATGCAGTTTGTTTGTTTGTTTGTTTGTTTGTTTTTACCAACTAATCACGCTTATTAAACTTTTATCCTCCTGCCCCTTTTTTTTTCTTTTTTTGGTTATACTGAGGATTGAACTAGGAGGCCTCATGCATGCCAGGCAAGTGCTGTACCACTGAGCTACTACCCGTCTATATTTTTGTTTTCTTCAGTTAATCACAAAAAACCATAGGAGGTAGTTAAAATATATTTTATTGAAAAAATGGATCACAAAGCTATTAAGTGATGAAACTTGGGTTTGAAACAGGAATTTGATTCTAACATCTTCTTTTTTTTTTTTTTTTAAGAGAGAGAGAGAATCTTTTAATGTTTATGTTTTAGTTTTTCGGTGGACACGACATCTTTATTTTTTTAGTTGCCTGTGGTACTGAGGATCGAACCCAGCACCCCATGCATGCCAGGCGAGCATGCTACCGCTTGAGCCACATCCCCAGCCCCTAACACTCTTCTTAATTTTGCTTTTCTTGTAATGGAAGTGAGTCATTCAAGAGGGCATCTAACCTCCTGTCTCTTTGTGTTTTAGGAACTTATAGCGATAGTGAAACAAAAGACTACTGAAAAATTAGATAATGTCACCCTCTTGTTTGCTTTGAAAGCACTTTGGAATCTTACAGATGAATCTCCAGCTGCCTGCAAACATTTTATTGAAAACCAAGGATTGGCAATCTACGTTCAAGTTTTAGAGGTGGGAAGATRGGATTGACTTTATATGTAAAAATTCTTTTCTTCATGATAAAGTAACCTATTTATTCTTTTGACAGACTTTTTCAGAGTCTTCAGTACAAAGCAAAGTACTTGGTCTCTTGGTAAGGTGAATTGTTTTGAGTTAATTTTAATTACTTTCAGAAAATTAACATGGATGTAGTACCTACCATGTGCTAGCAAATGTTAAAATCTATTTACATGTATAAACTCATTTAATTTTCACATTATCCCTATAAAGTAAATAACATTATATGTCAGCCAGTTATTGCTGTGAACAAACTGTAACTTAGTGACTTAAAACAATAGCCATTTTTTTTACTTAAGAATTTGTGGATCAACAGTTTGAGTTCAGATCAGCTCTACAGTTTTTCTGTTGGTCTCCTGGGGGAAATTCATGAAGCCACAGTCATCTGGTGACTCAACTGGGACCAGATGGTCTAAGGTGGCCCGACTTTCATGTCTGAAGTTGGGACTGGTAGTTGACTGGGCCTTGTGTCATCATGGGCTTCTTTCTGTGGTAGTTTCAGGCCAGCAATAGAGGGCCAAGTCCCATCGTACATATACTTTAGTATAGAATCAAAATTCAAACTCGAGCTGCCTCCAGACCCTCTTGTATTAACAACCTTAACTATAATGCATCYTTGTCAAGGTGATTTATATTATGTATATATGTATATTTTTTTCCAGTGCCTGCCCAGCCCCAAGGCAATCAATTTTTTAGAAATTTCTTTGTTCATATTTGTGTATTCTCTCATTCAAAATATTCCATAATTGAGAAATTTGTTTCCTAATGATTTACAAAAATTAATAAAAATGTACCATGCACACCTTTATTTTATCATGCTGAGTGCAGTGGGAGATACAGACAAATAAATCTTTCAGGCTGAGTGTACGTATACTTTCCAAGTTTAGGAGGTAGTGTTAGACCTGTGTACACAGCTCTCTCCTTGAAGACTGCATCTTGTATTGCTAGAAGAGAAGCATAAGTCCTGTGGGAGCCTTTGCTTCTAATCATAAACTTCTTGAAAATGAGGATTGTGACTTATGCTCTTCATATACCTGGCACCTATAGGACTCACAACACAGTAGATGTGAAAGGCATCACAGAGAGGGATAAATGATTATTGTTGGAAATCAAAAAGTTACAGAAAAGCAGAAGGTAGGGACAAAGGTCATTTTGGGCTAAAGACAATATAATCATTAAAGAGATACTATGAAACAGAAAATTTCAGAATTGAAATTTTGGGAGAAACTGGAAAAGAGACTAGCAATGGGAAATAATACCAGAAAGTTGGACTAAAGCCTTATATATCTTACTAGCTAGTTAATAACTAGCTCAGTGACAAGAGTATTTGCCTAGCATGTTCAGGGTCACAGGTTTGATCCCCAGCACTGTCCAAAGATGGGGGGACAAGGAAAAAAAATTTAGATTTTCCATTTTTTAAAAAAAAAAATTTAGTTAGTTAGTTAGTTTTTGGCAGACACAACATCTTTGTTGGTATGTGGTGCTGAGGATCGAACCCAGGCCGCACGCATGCCAGGCGAGCGTGCTACCGCTTGAGCCACATCCCCAGGCCCAGATTTTCCATTTTTTAAAATATTTTTTGGAGCCTTTCAGACTTCCAAAAGATTTATATTGTTTGGATTTAATGTCTAATAGACCTARCCCTTAAACTATGCTATTTACAAGGGTCATATCTCATCTCTGGAAAAAAGGAGCTGAGGTTGAGGGGATTCTCAAAAACAGTACAATTTCAGCTCTACTTTCCTTTGTTCTTTTCAGCATACTAGTGTCCATGGTGTACTTTTTTAAGATGTTGCTGAAGCAATAGCAGAAGTTAGCATTGATTTAAAGTAACTGTTCTATTTACTTTTTAAAAAAATATTTATTTTATTAGGTGTAGATGGACACAACACAATGCCTTTATTTTTATGTGGTGCTGAGGATGGAACCCGGGTCCTGCCCATGCTAGACGAGCGCTCTACCGCTGAGCCACAATCCCAGCCCCTATGTTCTGTTCTATTTTCTTTGACTGTTGGTTCTATCTCTTCAAACCTTTGCTTTTTCAGTTGTGTGGTCAGACCCCAAGTGACTGACCACACATTTCAACCTCCTGTATTTGTTTCTCTTTGTAATGTCCTCTTCTCCTGGAGTGTGAGCAGGACCTGTTAACTTGCTTCTAACAGCTAGAATATGGCAAAGATGATAGGTTATCACGTCCTTATTATGTTACAATATATTTATGAATCCATCTTGCTAGTAAACACACTTTAAGGACTCTTATAACTCGAAAGGAGCAAAATATATTGAAGTTAGTAGTTGGAAAAGGGAGAAACCCACATTTCAAGGAACTGGGCAACCTCTTGGAACTCAAGGTGGCTTTTAGCAAGAGACTGGATCTCTCAGTCCTGCAGCCACAAGAAACAAATTCTGCCAGCATCAGTGGAGATTGCACTTGAGAAATTCAGCCTTAGGAGATCTCAGAGTAGAAAGAGGACCCCACCCAGATTCCTGTTCCACAGAAACAGTGAGGAGGTAAATTCATATTATTTTAAGCCACTAAGTTTATGGTAATTTGTTACACAGCATTGAAAATTAAATAATGCAACATAATAAAACAAATATTWCCTGCCTATTGTTAAACTTGTCAAGATAATGTAACATGTAGCAGACCCCTGATTATGTTGTTTGTCAAGGCCTGGTTTTGTGTTTTAATTCATGCAGTTATGAGTAATGTGAACCTGATTCTTGTATTAAATGAGAGATAAGGCAGTTAGAAAAAGACATTTACCTAGTAGTATGCCTGGTACTGAGCAAGTGCTCATCTGGTGATTTATTTGTAATGATCATGCTCATGCTAAAGGGGATTTGGGGATTAGGCTGTTGAGCGGGATCTGAGATGAGCAGTAGGAAAGAGAGAAAAGCTAATTCCTTGTTCTCCTCCCTTCCTGTCCCTGATGTTCACTGCTTCATGTGACCTGTAGAACAACATAGCTGAAGTCAGAGAGTTTTCTTCCAAGCTGGTGACTGAAGATGTGATGAAGCATATCAGCAGTTTACTTCATAGCAAAGAAATAGAAGTGAGCTATTTTGCTGCAGGTATCATAGCCCACCTGACTTCTGACAAACAGCCCTGGCTCTTCCGCRACCTGCAGAGGAATGCTCTTCTCCAGGATTTGGTACAGGAACCATTCTTCTTTACAAAACAGTGTAATCTTTTCTTGTATATAGCTTACTTTTATAGATCATAAGAGGTTTAGAAATATATGATCATTATAAAAAATGGGAAAAATACATATAGGAAAGAAGAAAATGGAAACTTACCCATGCTCTTTCACCTAAAGTTAACCTCTTTTTTTTTAAGAGAATTTTTTTTTTAATATTTATATTTTTTAGTTTTTGGCGGACACAACATCTTTGTATGTGGTGCTGAGGATTGAACCCGGGCCGCACGCATGCCAGGCGAGCGTGCTACCGCTTGAGCCACATCCCCAGCCCTAAAGTTAACCTCTTGAATGCAAAATTTTGTTGCATTTCTTTTACTGTTTCTTTTTTTTTTTTTTTAATAAAAGTTACACATGCAAACAGTTGTGTATGGCTTTATGCAAATCCCCTTTCTCTTTTAGCTTTTTAAAAGTTATTTCTTTTGGTATTTACTTCCATATCTCTAAGATATTATGGGTTTTTTGTTTGTTTTGGGTTTTTTTTTKGGGGGGGTGGGTACTGGGGATTTAACCCAGAGGCACTTTACTACTGAGTTACATCCCCATCCTTTTTAAATTGCTGAGGCTGGCCTTGAACTTGTGATCCTCGTGCCTTAGCTTTTCAAGTAGCTGGGACTTACAGGTGTGGGCCATGGTGACCAGCCTTGTTGCTATTTTTTACTTTTAAGCATCTTCTGTCCATTAATTGACCCCAAATAGGAAAGAATGATTCTTATTCTTGCTATCTCTTGTGTCTAATCTTTCCTATACTCTAGTTATAAGTTTTTCAGTACATTTCAGAACTGTTCTATCCACTTCACCTTCTCAAGAGCCTTCTGTGTCTCCTCTATCTGGTCTGCTTGTTTTGTATTATCTGGTATACCTTTGTTACTGTCGTCCTAGGATATTCCTTTACTACCATTCTGCATATTCCCATCGTCTCTCTTGTGTTGCTTCCCTATTTTCTGGATTACATGCCTTCCTGTTTCTTGGTTTACTCGCTCCCCAGCATATCTTCCAGTAGTTTCCTAAGAAGAGATGCATGAAAGTGAAATCTCAACTGTTTCTAAAGGCCTTTATCTTACTCTCACATTTAGTTGGTGAAATGGCTAGGTGTAGAATTTTTAGCTTTCAAATATTTTTCCTTCAGAATTTTTAAGTCTTTGCCAGGCATGATAGTGCACACTCTAATCCCAGTGACTTGGAAGCCTGAGACAGGAGGATTGCAAGTTCAAGGCCAGACTTAGAAACTTAGAGAGACCCCATCTCAAAATTCAAAGAGCTAGAGATGTAGCTCAGTGGTAAGGTGCCTCTGGGTTCACTCCCTAGAACTGGAAAAGAAAAAATTTCCCCAAATGAAGGAAACAAACTTCCAGGGTAATAAGTACTCAATGCAGTAAAAGAAAATGAACCCTCATCAAGGTATATTCCTATGATTCCAAACTTTGAAGGTAAAGAGCTTTCTTTTTTTTGCAGTACTGGACATTGAACCCAAAGGGTCACGAGCACTGAACCACCTCCACATCTCTTCTTATTTTTAGACAAGGTGTCTCCAAGTTGCTGACACTGGCCTTTGAACTTGCCATCCTCTTGCCTCAGCCTCTGGAGTTGCTAGGATTACAGGCGTGTGTTCCTGTGCCCAGCTCTCTTTCTTTCATCCATTTTTCCTTCCCTCCCTCCCTTCCTCTTTTTTTTTCTTTCCTTTTCCTTTTCTTTCTGATGTTGGAGAATAAACCCAAGACCTTATACATGCCAGGAAAGCACAGTGCCACTGAGTCATGTGCCCAGCCCACTTTTTCATCTTTTAAAAAATATTTGTTTTTTAGTTGTAGTTGGACACAATACTTTTATTTTATTTATTTATTTTTATATGGTGCTGAGGATCGAACCCAGGGCTTCCTTGCACATGCTAGGTGATCACTCTACTGCTGAGCCAWAACCCCAGCCCCCACTTTTTCATTAAAATTTTTTTTTTCTTTCTGGGGATATTGGCCTTCCCCAGACTGTGTTTTATGCTTTCTGTGTTTCCCCGCCTCAGTACTGGGGACTGAACACAGGGCCTTACACAATTTACATAAGCACTAAGCTACATTTCCAGCCTTTAAAAAAAAAAAGTGTGTGTGTGTGTGTGGTGTGCGTGGTGCTGGGTATAGAACCCAGGGCCTTGTGAATGCAAGGCAAGCACTCTAACAACTGAGCTATATTACCAGCCCCATTCTTTAATCATTTCAGCCATCCTCCTGTTTTGAAGCCCACCTCTAGTTTCATTTTGGAAAGTAACTTGTGTGAAAAATTTTAAATCTCCTAGGGATTGTGTTCAAATTGGGTTTTTGCGGCATTGGAGATTGAACCTAGAGGTGCTTTTAGCACTGAGCAACATCCCTWGCTTTTTATTTTATTTATTTATATCTTGGTATCAAGGATTGAGCCCACGGGCTTTTAACCACTGAGCTATATCCCCAGCCCTTTTTATTTTTTATTTTGAGATAGGGTCTCACTAAGTTGCTGAGGGACTCATTAAGTTGCTGAAACTGGTTTTGAACTTGGGATCCTCCTGCTTCAGCCTCCTGAACCTCTGGGATTACAGGCATGTGCCACCACGCCCAATTCTTTTTTTATTTGTAGACAGAGTCTCACTAAGTTGCTGAGGATCTTGCTGAATTCCTGAGACTAGCCTTGAATTTGGTAATCCTCCCAAGTTGTTGGGATTGTAGGCATGCACCACTGTCCCCAGGGGTTTGTTTTTCTTACCACACTCAGGTACTATATCTCCCATCTACTTTGTTCTCGGTGTTTGATTTCTTCTCTTATTTTTATTTATTTATTTTTGAGAAAGAGGAAAAAGAGGTTTATTGCTTTGCTAGCAAAGGAGAAACACAGGGGACTTCTTGTCCCAAAGGCTGTTTCTATCCTTCAGCAGGAACAGAGGGCTTTTAAAGARGTGATTCAAAATACATTCCACATGTTTTCTGTTAGAGTGAGTTCTTCTGTTTTAAACCATTCTTACTATTCAGTGAGTGGGATTTAAGGATGTAGTGTAATTTCAGTTCAGTACCTTAAAAAAGAAGCCTTTATTGCATTCTTTTCTTCATGTATCTACATATGTAATGGTTGTCAAATGATTTGGTAAGAAGGTATATCTAAATTTTGTMATTCCCATRTTTTGAAAATTTATTTTTGTTTCAAATGTATTTAATTATAAATGACATGAAATAATCTCTTGACCTTTTATAAATGATGGAATATAATAATTGAATCTTTGTTTCTCCCTGTCTTTTGGGGAAAAGCATGCAACCATGAAGAATTGGCCAAGTCCAAGTTGTAAGATGTCAGCATTGGTAACATACAGGTAATTTCATTATGATGTGATTTTCTTCAAGCCTGTCCTTAGTGTGCTTGATTATATAGTAATAAAGTCTCAGTATCATTTAGCCTTGTGTTCAAATCCCACTTCTTTTCTGTGATACTGTGAAAGTCATTTCTAATGATTCCATTTTTCTTAATTAAGAAGTGAGGTGGACAGTGTGCCAGATTGAGGAAGAAATGAGATATTGAATGTGTAGAGCATCTGACAAAAAATTCAGTTTAAATGATAGCTACCAAGGTATATTGCATAGTATATCTGGCTTGGTGAGGAACTGACTATGGGGGAAAATGTTAAATTATTTTCATATTTCTGAGTTCTGAATTCACATCCTTGTCCTTTTTAGATCTTTCAAGTCATTTTACTCACTCCTTGGCAACTTCTCTCAACCAGTGGTTCAGCTCTGGGGACTATGGGCCATGTGTCACGTCTGCAGTAAAAATCGTATGTATTCAACATATAYTTAAAACAATAGTTCTCAGCTGTTTTTCTGAATAATGAATAAGTTCCATATGGAGTTTGAAAATTTTCTCATCTGTGTCTTTTGAACTTAGCTTTTTAAAAAGAAAGTGAAGTTGGGTGACCCAGTAGGCTGAGGCAAGAGGATTGCAAGTTCAAGACCAGTCTCAGRCATTTAGCAAGATCCTCTCTCAAAAAACAAAAAGGGCTGGGAATGTAGTTTAGTGGTATAGAACACCCCTGTATTGGATCCCCATTATTGGGGGAAAAAAGAAATAGAAATTTTTTTTATTAATATCAGCTATTTTAAGCCTGAGGCAGGAGGATCATAAGTTCCAGGCCAGGGCTGGGGATGTGGCTTAAGCGGTAGCACGCTCACCTGGCATGCGTGCGGCCCGGGTTCGATCCTCAGCCCCACATACAAAGAAAGATGTTGTGTCTGACAAGTACTGAAAAATAAATATTAAAAAATTCTCTCTCTCTCTCTCTCTTTAAAAAAAAAAAAAAAAAAAAAGTTCCAGGCCAGGAACTTAGACCCTTACGCAGACAGACAGACAGACACACACACACACACAGGCTGCAAAATTAATGATTTAGAAGTGGATATCCAACAGTTTAAAAAGTGGAAATTATTTCCCCCATTCCCAATTCCTCACAGGCAAGCACTGTTAACAATTTGGTAACTAGTCTTTCATCTACTTTTTAGTATATGCTCTACTAAGACTATGCTATTTATGCTAGGCATGGTGAAGTTCGCCCTAATCCCAGTTATTCAGGAGGCTGAGGAAGGAATGTAGCAGGTTTAAGCTCAGCCTCAGCAACTTAGTAATACCCTGTCTAAACATTTTTTAAAATGGGGATATAGGTTAGTAGCAAAGTAACCATGGGTGCAGATCTCCAGTAACAAAACAAAACATAAACATAAACATAAAAAAACATTTTAAATGAAAACAGACTCATTCTGTGCATGTCGTGCTATAGCTTGCTCTCTTTATCATTAACATTCTTATAATCATAGAACTTTCTCCTTGTAATGAATGGTCTATAGGAGGTTGGGAGGCCAGGAGTCAGGTTGTTTTCCAGGTAGAGTAAATATTTTTGCATGTTTTGCTGTTAATCCCCCCTGCGGCAGGTTTGGTGCCACACAACCGTAATTCTAATAGCTCAGGAGGCTGAGGCAGGAGAATTGCAAGTTCCAAACAGTCTCATCAATTAAGGGAGACCCTCAATAACTTGATAAGACCTTCTCTCTCAAAAAAAAAAAAAAAAAAAAAAAAGGACTGGGGATATAACTCAGTTGTAAAGGGCCCCTGGGTTCAATCCTGGTACCAAAATAAAAATCCCCTCTGAGACATTTTGGTCAATACGTTTGCTCAGGATTATTATAAAAATTTTTCTTTCATTTCAAAAAAAATATAGGCTATGATTTTATACTAGAAAACTTAAGAGACTATTTTTAGGAGTAAAAATGTAGGTATATTGATGTGTGTGTGTGTGTGTGTGTATAAAGTAAATACATAAAAACACAGACATTTTTTAAATACCATTGAAAATCTGAAAGTTAATTAAGGGAAAAGATAATTCATATTGTCAACAAAAGCATAAAGTACCTAAAAGTGACTTCAATAAGTAATACAAAACTATGAAAGATAATTTAAAATTCTGAAATAATTGAGATATACCATGCTCCAAAGATGGAAAGACTTATTAAAATATAGATGTAGTAATTTCTAACTTGTGGCTATCATACAATTCAAGTGAATGGATGAGAGATGTGGGGGATCTGAAAGTTATTCTAAAGTYCACCTGGCAGAATAAATAGGAAAGAATTAACAAAGAAAAATTATTTTTAGGAGCTTGTTGTAGCACTTCTATTAACCTGATTAAAAAGGTAATGTGAATGGTGCCAGACATATGAAAGTCAGGCAGATCAGTGGATCAGAGTGGTTCTGAAACACTCTAGTTTTTTCCTTTTTGGGTGTGGTACAGAACATTGAACACCTCACACATGCTAAGCAAGTACAATACCACAAGTTACATTCCAGACCTAGTATTTTCAATTGTGACAGTAGCAACTATGACAATAATTAGAACTTTTGAGTTGTGTGACAGATAGTATTGTAAGCACTCAAACTATGTAATCTTCACAACACCTAGAAGGGGGGTAGCATTAATATCATCATCCATATATCAGATGAGAAAACTGAGGACCATGAAAGTAATTTACCCAAGATTAAAATGTCTAACATGTCCAGCGACAAAGTTCTACCCTAGATCTATACTGTAGGATGTAGTAACTTAGGTAACATTTCTTTGGAGGGTACATAGTTTCTAGTCTGCCTATTAAATACCGCTTCAATAAGTAATGAAACAGAAAAAGAAAGATGTACACTTGCAATAGTGTGGTAATWAAAACACAGACCCCAGAACCAGACCACCTGTGCTTTATTCCACGTTTTGCCATTTACTAACTGAACTTGAAAAAATTACTTAGTCTCTCTGTGCCTCAGTTTCCTCAGCTATAAACTGGAGAATGATACCTGCTTTACAGGGTTGTTATATAATTAAGTTGATTATATTTGTAAAGCATTTAGAATAGTGCTTGGTTGATAGTAAAAAAGTGCTAACATCTATATATAGCATAGTATTAATACTAGCATAGAAAATAGTGTTTGTTAAAATACATCCTTTTGCAAGTATGTGAGTCGGTCTACAGAACTCTTAGAATTGCTGAGTCAGAAGGTTATAAACATTTTAAAATTTGATAGGTGTTGCTAAACTGTTCTCTAGAGAGTTGATTACAAACATGCCTTCCTTTCAATAATGTGTAAGAGCTTTTAATTTTTATGTGGTGCTGAGGATTGAATCCAGTGCCTCCCACATGTGAGGCGATCGCTCTACTACTGAGCCATACTCCCAGCCCCATTCCTACCCCATTTTCCTACCTTCTTGAAAAATTACAATGTTAATTGAACTTTTCGACTTTGCCAATCTAAGGAGAAAGTGATAGTCTTAGTTGACATTTCTTTTAAGTGAGAGTAGTCATTTTTCCTGATGAGAGTCATTTCCTTGTCTGTTAATACCATTGTTTGCTTTTTGTCTATTTTCTTTTTATTTGATTAGGTCTTTGTGATCAGTTAATTTTTTTCTGAGTTTATTGTCTGATTTTTTTTTAGTTGTAGTTGGACACAATACCTTTATTCCTTTCATTTATTTTTATGTGATGCTGAGGATCGAACCCAGGGCCCTGTGCATGCTAGGCGAGCGCTTTACCACTAAGCCACAATCCCAGCCCCTAATTTTATCATGTTTACAAATCAAACTTTTGTGGTATATAGCCTTTGGGTTTTAGGTTTTGGTTATACTTAGGTTATAAAAGAAGTCTTTTTTTTTTCTTTCTGATATGGTTTCCTTTTAACATTGATGACTGCTCCATTTGAAACTTCTTGGTATATGGTGTATTAAAAATCTTGTTAAATATTCCATGTTTTCTGTACTGATAAGCAAACTTTTTTTTTTTTTTTTTTTTGTACTGTGGATTGAACTCAGTGGCACTCAACCACTGAGCCACATCCTCAGCCCTATTTTGTATTTTAT